CCATAGTGTCCCAAGGCTTGATGATGTCTTACTCCCATAGTGTCCCATAGTGTCCCAAGGCTTGAGGACGACTGTAGACATGTAGACTATTGATGAATGACATTTCCTATACCAGCACCACGCAAAGGGTGATTTATTCGACGCGACTCATATTTGTCATCCTGTCATCCAACAACCACTTTGGGTGGTGCTGGTATGAAGAGGTGTTTACGTCGCGAAATGAGGAGGTTTTATAATGTTTTGTCATCTAGAGGCAGATCTTGAAACGCCAGGATCCATGCTGGAGACCGAGTTCCTGTGCCTTGGGCGAGAGATTGGGCGTGCGCCCGGCGCAGCGGTCGGTCGTGACCAGTACAGATCCATACAGATCCACCAGCACCACCCAGTGGTGCTAGAATCTATAGAACACAAACAGGGTACGGGTTACCCTGTGTTTGTGATCCATGTTTGTGACCCCTTAGAATAGAATCTAGAATCCTGTGTCTTTGGAGATCAGATGTATTGGATGGTACACCCAGGGTCAGGGGGTTCTAGAATTGAACTGGGTTCTACTGACCGAAGAACTTGGATGAACACTCTACTTGTCATTTTTTCCCCCGGATTTGTTGGTCCGCAACCAATCACCGGGTCTATTGGGTGCAGCGACACCTAGATGTGGTTGCCCCAGATCTGAGATGTTTTGAGGAGACTTCGAAGCCGAGTTAGAGATCCCCTGCCAAACCCGACCGGTGGTTCGACCATTTGGGAGGCTAGGAGCATGGCCAGGAGCATAATCCTAATATATGGGTTTTTGTGTCGGGGTTTGGAAACACCGGATCTTCGAAGCTTCGAATCTGGTGGATCACATTGGATCACTTTCTCTAGAGTTCACACCATTGGACGTGTCCTTTTTGGTGGTTTTCAGAGGTTTTTTTGCATGAAGAAACATAGGTACCCTTTGTTCCCCATCCGATGGTCGGGGTGTTTCCTGGTCGGGGCGGCCGGTATACCTAGGCTAGGCCGGCCGCCCTGTTCGCACTTGGGCGTAGGCCCGCCCGCACGTAGGCCCGTGTCAGCTCAGGATGTGCTGCTGGTCGGAGGCCGTCACTTGCATCAAGTCTTGAAGAAGTCGCGGGGCTTCACCTTACTCCTCTTCGAAGGCGGGGGTGGCCGCTGGGAGGCGTGGCGCACCGCGGCGTGGCGGTCGGAAAGCGAGTCAAACCCGGTGGTTGTTGGGATGGGCATGTGAAAGTGTCGGTCTAAGCTTCGAGTGGGTGGGTGGTGAAAGCCTCAAAAAGATCGACGTGCCCAGATAGCAGAAGTTTTTCTAAGAATTCTAGGTTGCTCTCTGGGTGGATACTGCAGCTGCTTGGCATTTGACGTAATCAAGCAGTCGCTTTTTGTACGAAAACCGTCGAACTCACTGGGGCCGACAGGAGGACATCCGAGTTGCACGGGGGGTTCTGGAAACTTAGGGAACGGAGACACATGCAGTTTAAACAAAAGAAGCGCACAATCTTGTTTTCCCTTCTCGGAGAGATTCACTGACTTTGCGGCTGCAAGCAAGCAGATACTGTAAGTATCTGTACGTCATAGTTATGGCCAGTTACATTGAATGTATTTCCCCAAACAGTGTGGACACACTGGGGATCCTCTTACGGTAGTAGTTAAGCACCGGGGCTAGATCACTGACGGCGCGGGCGTGTGCGGCTAATTCGCTGCTATTTACAGTACAATTCATGTCTCTCGAAATCGTCGCCGTACATTACAACTGCCCAGGCTCGTGAAATCTGGGTGGCCGCGGCGGGTGCTTGTCGCGACTGCGCTCTCGTTGTGGTGCCGTGCGCATGGTGGTCCCTTTTCGTGGCAGGTGCAAGGGAAACTCGTGCTTTGGTGGTCTAAAGTCGACTTTTCATGACAGGTGCAAGGCTGTGTGCGCAGGTGAGTCTGTGGTACCAGGCAAAGTCTGAACTTGGTTGTAATCGATGTTTGTACAGGTGCGCGATTCCTGTTAGCACAGTTGCTTTAAAAAACATGGTGTGTGTACAGGTGAGCGAATGTTGCGTGCGCAAGTGAGGCGCCATCCCCACTGGAGCAAAGATCCGCAGCAAGCAATAGCGTTCAGCCTTGCAACTTTGAGGCACATCGGCACAGACATGGGTCACCCAGCAGTTCACCCCATTGCTGAAGAAGTTGCAGAAGCAGTTGGTCATCGTGGTCTGGTGGGCGGCTTTTGGTCCTCCGATGGGGAGTCAGATATAGGAGTTTTTTGAATCGGAAGGAATCACCATCGCAAACCTGCCGCAAGAAGAGCTCAGCAGCTTGACCATGTCGTTTGTGTTGTCGCAATGTTGGAGCAACAGACACACGTTTGATGTTTGCATGGTGCCAAGACGCCTTGGAGATGGTTCAGCAGACACTGTCCTCAGGCTTGTTGGGGAAGTGCTTCAAGCACGAGTGGCAGCCAACGATCAGGTACCTGTACGGGGCCTGGCGTTCGATGGTGGGCTGGGAAACAGCAAGGTGAACAAGTTGCTGCTTGGCCTCGTGCAACACCCAAGCATTTCGCCGTCTGACTGGAGGCTCCTAGTCGTGAGGGCTACGTCTTCTGTTTCTCAGAGGAATTCCATTCTGTGCAGAGTGCCGCGTTGCGCCCACTACTCTGCCATTGTGGAACTTTGGGAGGCTTTCAAGGGCTGGAATGTTTCCATGCAGCAGTTCCGTGACCCATCCAAGGAGGACAAGGGCCGGCACATGCAGCGACTTTGGTCTCATCGGCAGGGAGCAGATTGGGAATGGATGCAGCTATACCCATTCAGCCCCCAATTCAACCAACAGTGTTCAAAAAGCAAGGGAGGCTGGAGTGCTACATGGTTAGGGAGCCCTCACTCGAACTCAGAAGCTACGGGCTGGCTTGGTGCTTGGGCGAACAGGATCAGTTGCAGCTGTGCAACATCTGTTGACTTTTCCCGGCGCCCTTGATGGACCGGCAGAAGGACTAGAAGGCTACGGCCGGAGCTTCGACATCATGCTGCACACAGGCGACCGCACTACAGAGCTCTTGACATTTGGATTTTTGGACAATTTCAATTTGATTGATTTGCAATGGAGTTCATCAACATTGCAGATGAAGACTGCTGGTTATGACCTCAGTGCTTCATGGACCTGGTGCATGAATGTCAATGCCCTGCATTTCTTTTGTTCCTTGTCTTGCAAGTCAAGTAGCGTCACAATTTTCAGAAAGAGGCAGTGAAAGAACATCAATCATTGAAAAGTTGTGTATGTGAACCCAAGCCTGCAGCCTGCCTACCAAGGTGTCCAGGTGACGCACAGTGGCATGGTGAGGATGTACAAGGTAAACTCCATTCACAAGCAGTTTTCAGTCTTCGAGCCGTGCAAAAAAGGGCTGAGATCTATGACATGGAGCTTGGATACAGTGAGGTCAGTCATTGTAAAGTTTATGCACATTGCGTTCATGAATGCTATTATTGCCTCCACTTCTTTGGCATCACTTTCATTGGTACTTGTGCTCCCAGGGAGCCAAACTTCTGGCTGAATGCCTCAGCGGCCCAGGGAGGCTATGTGTCTCTGACCGGCGGCGGGAAGAGGACCCAGCTTTAAATTTGATGCTGCAGATGATTTGTGGCAGTTATATAATTGATGTTGCTTTGCGCATAGAATCATACCATAGGTGGTAAAGTGGATTCTTGGCTTGTCGCTGCAGGAACTGGAACAAGAGCAGTGCCATTGTGCTGAATGGCCATGAGATCATGGCTTTTGAGGTTAGTCGAACGCCAAATTGGTCCAATGCGACAAACAAGTGCTTGAGGCACTATGTGCGCCTGGATCGCATTGATGTGTGCCACAGAAGGTGGTATAGCTGCCACGTTGGCATCATTCCGGCCGTGATGGCAGGCCCCCTTCCACATGAAACACAACAAGTGGGTGGACGGTTGCGTATTCCTTCCTTGTGGAGCTGTGATCGGGGCAAAATGCCGAATGCAGTTTCTGCTGATGGACAAAGTGCCGATGTGCCCGGAGAGTCGCTTGCGCAACCGTGCATGATCTGTCAGAATGAGATGGTGGAAAGCAGCGAGCAGCGAGAGGCTTGAAAGATTTGATGAGGGCTTGTCAAATGACCACACGCACTCAATGATTTTTGTCTTATGCGATATGGGTTATTATATGTTGTGATGTGGGGAAAGTACCTACATAATAAGAGACTACAGCCAGCCAGTTGGTTCTGGGGTGAGTGACATGACATGTCATCTTTGGAAAAATGTGCGACGCTGGATTGTGATTCAATGTGGTGCTTGATTGGTTGTTTGAATCAATCAAAAGGGTTTCCTTAGAGACCAGTGTGTCTTATGAATGTGAACAGTATATTGAATTTTGAGCATCATTGGACTCCAATAACCTTCATTCTACATGCTTGCTTGTCAGTGTGGTAATTGGAGGATTTCAGTTCAGTGCGAGCTGATTTGGAACTTAAAAACACCTAGGTGACACCATTGCAACACCAAGACAGCCCTGCTGGGTGGCTCAGTGGTGCCTCTGGTCCCAAGAAGTGCTGAAAAAAATCCGCGCTCCGCGCGGAAGAGGAATAGTAATGATTAAAGTATGAGTTAACCCCCCAAAAATAAGCACATGTGATAGAGTTGTTTTTTCTGCGCATGTCGCGAGAGTAAAGCAGTTTTTAGTGAATAAATAACGTGTATCATGATGGTATTTGAACAATGAACAGTGTGCTTTTGTTTTGGTGTCTGAAAATGAGTGTGACCGAAGAGAGTTTGTCAATCAGTGAATTGCAGCGAATGACTGAATGGAGAGTGAATTGTGGATTGAAACAATCGCATTACATTCACTATGGCTCAAAGTGTGCTTAGCTCAGCCAGTGTAGGTTGTTGACTGAGAGCAATCATGCCTAGAAGTGGTCTGACTGAGCTAGAAGCTGTCAATCGCAAAAGAAAATTGGAGCAACTTGTCAAGGATGTCAATTTGGATGAAGCGCGCATAGAAGATGTTTCTCCATGAGGTATCATCCATGTCAATGGTTGATATGCCTTGGTAAAAACAAGTGAAAACTAGTGAGAACTTGCTCAGTCTTTTTTTGCTCTTTAGCCAAAACCCGACTAGTATCAAAACCCTTACTTGTCACAGTCCCTGCCAGCACAGTGCTCTTCAGCCAAAACTTGACTAGTTTCAAACAACTTACTTGTTACGATGCCTGTCAGCACAGTGCTCTTCAGAAAAAACTTGACTAGGTTCAAAAATCTTACAGTAACAATCCCTGCCAGCACAGTGCTCAGCAAAAAATGACTAGTTACTGTTCATAAATTTCACAATCCCTGCCAGCGCAGCCAAAACTTGACTACTTTCAAAAAATACTCAATGCCTTCAGCCAAAACTTGACTAGTCTCAAACCGTTACCTGTCACAGTCCCTGCCAGCACAGAGCTCTTCAGCCAAAACTTGACTAGTTTAAAACACTTTACTTGTTACAATCCCTGACAGCTCAGTGCTCATCGACTCGTCGATTACCGTAAAGGAACCGTTTGTACTCATGGTGTTTGTAAGTTCGCTTGTCGCTCGACTCGTCAACTTATCGTTAAAGGAAACGTTGTACTTTCATTTTGTTTGCAAGTTCACTCGTGGCTCCACTCGTGGACTTTCTCGTGAAAGCACTTTTGGTTCACTCATATTTTTACTCGGTGGGAATTTTGGAGCAAAATCGTTTTTACCATCACCACGATCTCCACCTTCATCACCACCATCACCTCTCTGGACCCCAATGCGTCTAGATCTCTAGACTTTCTGCTGCCGCACCTCTAGACCTCACACAAACTGTTTGGGGTCTCTTGCCGGGATAGTTATTTTGCAAATGCAAGTTACATTTCACATCATTTCACTAACAGCCAAGTGGCTGCCCAAAATTTACACCTTATGAATTATGATCCGTCGTGTGTATATGTCAACTTGAACCCCAGATTTGTTCAGTTCTTCCCGCACCCGTCTCATCACCAGGCTCTGCTCCGGAGAACGAAGATATGGAGAAGCACTTGAAGAACAAAATGCTGCCTGTCACAGGTGGTTCCGGTTCGAGTTGCCTCGCAGCGTTCCACCTCGACAGGGTGCTTTGCTGTCGAAGGCACGGAATCAGGGAGCTGTCTGTTTGTTCAGGTGCACGTGGATTGACTGAAACCCGAACCTTTTTTGTTTCCTTCAAGGGTGTCAGTTTGGAGTATAAGAACCGTTAAAACCAGATAGGGGGCACAAGGCAATGGTTTATGCTGGTCACCTTATGAAGAGACATGGGCCCACAATCCACAGACTTCGAGCCAAAAGGCAAAAAGGTTTGGTCCTTTGTATCCAAGGGATGGGATGGTGCTGCAAACCGCGGGCCTTGGCTGAGGTTGTCCTTCAAAGAGTTGCAGGCACATGCAGGAATGGTAGTGGAGTGTGACAGGGCCCGGGCCTTTAGTTGGTTTCAAGTCGATAGCAAAGTGCATGCAAGAGTTGCAGGGAAAAGTGTGTTCTGGTAGAGGCATACCATTTGTTTTGTTGCATTTTGTTTTTTCATGGTTGTGTTTTGGAAATAGGAGTCTCCCTGTTCTAACACACAAGTACCTTAAACATCCGGACCTTCAACAAATGATGAGGATTCTTTGCGAGGCGCCCAACCCCCTTGAAAATACCAGGACCCGTGCGAAGAGGTCGAGTCCAAGGATTTGTCCAGGGAGGGTGAAGGACGACTTCGGAGATGAGTCCGACTTGGCTTTTCGGAGCTTGGCAGCTACCTGTTGCAGATCATGGCATCTATAGAAACACCCAATTCACCAACTCCCTGAACCGAGTTTGATGACTTCGAGAGCCGAGTTTCGACGGGTGGTTCTTGGTTTCGGGGCATCCCGGCCTGGAAATGCTCAAGTTTGTTCCTCACTCAGTGGAGACGAGGTTTGTCTAGTACATCATGCCAAATTGGAACAAGTCAAGTGACAGTGAGGATTTGGCTTTGAGGAGCTGTTTGCGGTCATTGACTGTCCCTGAACGCCGGTTCGTTCAAGATCCCGAATTTCGGACGGACATTTGCTCACAATTGCGGCAAAGGTTCTGTCCATATATGGTTTATCATGTTTTATGATGCGTTGGTTCGCCGGGAAAACATTGGAGGTGTGGTCTACAAGGCGATCTTTAAAATCATTTCAGATCCCTATGAATCCACTGTCACCCACTAAGAGAGTGATTGGCTTTCAGGATCCAAACTTCGTTTCGATTGTGGCAGTGGATCCCCGCTCAGGGCGGAATTTAGTTTGTTTCTTTTTTTGGGAGTTGCATGGACTGCCCCAAGCTCATATACGACCCTAAGAAACTGGGCCTTCAAACACATAGGCGTTTGAAAGGTTTTGGTTCGGGTCCGGACCTCTTTTCGATGGTGGAGGCCCAAGAATTCCGCCGGTGACCGTCAGATGGAGGCCTTGAGCGTCAGCATGAAGTGCCAAGCGGACAAGACCAACTTTGTGGCTATGATCGATGAGGCGGATGGGACTGGGTCGCCGGCCGGTCCGACCACTTGTTTGACAGTTGAGATTTTAGGTCCAGGGGAGGATTCATGAGGATTGCAAAGCACCGAAATTGGTGAAGAATCAATCTGGCGGGTTTGAAACCTACATTGCCGAAAGCAATGATCTCTCATGGAGCTTCAACAGCGGCAAGATTGCCTCCGACGCTGGCTTTGGATTCCAAGAGGAAGCCTCGTAACACAGAGGACACTGCGCAAATAGATCAATCCCAGACACTCCATGTATGCCATATATGCCTACATTGACCCCCCTAGCACCACCCCAACTGATCGGCATATATGGCAGTCCCATGGAGTGTCTGGGAATGAGAACCTGGAGAACCTGCCGGTGTCTTGTATGGGTGTCCACTCGCGCCGACGACCGGACCACTCGCGCCGGTTTCGTGTGCCGTTTGAGACGGCACTGTCCACCCACGACTAGCTAGCGTAGGTGCGGTGCCTGTAGGTACCCGGGCCTACCCGGCCATCCAGTCCTTACACAGTGTGATTAGTCAGTCCAATGCACACAGGATTCGTCCTTTGACGCATAGCTCTTCCAGCTGGTGGGAGTCTTCACAGGGGTGGTCCCGCCCTGCAGACGGACCACGCAGTCACTTAGTGGAATTCCTTTTTACAGTGCGGAGCTTCAAGCATTACTACAAGTAAGTTCCTTCGAGATCTCCTGCCATTCGCGGGTGCGACGCGGATTCAGCAAAGCCTTGCCCTGTGTGACACAGACACTAGATTAGAACAACTCAAGCAGACGGCAAGCCATTTCAAGCTAGCATTGCCACAGTTCGTTGATCTAGACCAGGATCATCTGAAGAAAGTCAAAGCAGCCGCTAGCAAATGGACACCTAAGCATTCTGACATACAGGCAATTACAGGCATCTCATTTTACTCTCGCAGAGAACCTGCTTCGTGATTGCGCCGACGCCTAACACTTTCAATCTGAACATGCTGGCAAATCAGATGATATACTGTGATGGTGGCACTGGGTCCACGTACTTTCTTCAAGCGAATCCAAACTGGTGAATCACCAACTGTATGTCCATTTGCTTGATACTGACCTTCCATTCATAGTGCCAGGTGAGTGATTTCAATACTTACATTAAGGAATTTGAGGTCTTACATTGGATTCCAAGTACTTGGATGCGTTGAAATGTTTGAGTTCCATCGTGTGGCCTTCAGTTTTGACTTGCCCCCCAACCTGTAAGGATGTGACTATTCCATGCTCATACACCCGAGTCTGGTGCCAATTGATATAGGGCCAGAGCACATGTTTCCTGATCACAGACCAGTTCAGGTTATCTTTCAGGTTCCACCCCAACAGATAGATGCACATCAGTGGTTTGTACCCAACTCGTGGGCGATAGAGCCAATCAATAAGCAAATCATGGACAAACAAAGTAACCACATTTCTCATAGAGAACCGTGCCATGTGCTTCCCATCTCCACTGATTCGCCTCAAGATGTTTCAGAACATCTTTGCTCATGGTCAAGACAGATTGTCCGCACGAATCAAATCCAATTTTGTTGGCCCCAGACACTCCAAACAGCCCTTGGTCCCTCAAAGCCAAGGGATTTGAGACCCCAGACCCTCCATATGAGGGTCCAGGAGCGTGTGGGGCACAGTTGTTTCTTTTGAATTGGCAGGTGGTGCTCTTTCCTCAGGGCGACGTGGAGGCGAGGCAAGGGCGCATGTCAACTTCGTTCGACAACGTCGTTCGACGACGTCGGTCCGGCAAAGGGAAGACATCAGCACAAAGCCTAGGCTTTAAAGCAATGGAAGGTTGACCTGGTCTTGTAGTCTACAAAGTAAAACATTGTAAGGTGGCATCTTGTTGCCTTTTCCGTTATGCTTCGACCTGTGCGTCGTGCATATGTCAGACGCGTTTCACGCGAGATCTGGCGTAAAACTATAGACTATTGTTCTCAAAAGCACACATCGTGGGCCGCGAAAGCTTCACTGCCGCTGCCGTGCCGCGGCAGCGGCTGTGGGACTTGGCTCTGCATCGCTTGCAGGTCGCCTTTGTTGTAAACAAGAACGGGTGGAACGTTCCGTGGTCGCCTTGATTTCAGTGGATCAGCTGATTTGGCTCCTTGTTGGGGGAATGATGGGGAATGGGTTGTGGCCAGACCTCCCACTCAACAGATGGAAGGGTCACCCAGCTCCTTTGGAGGGGAGGGATCGATTCGTTTGGCGGCCACGAGACACCGAAAAAGACGAGAACAGGGCATACATGGTCAAGCAAACAGGGATCTACTAAGGCTACTAAGGGCTTAGGAATCCTGGGCCATCAGAACTTTATAGAAAGGCTTGAATCCCAAACAACACTTGTTTTACTAAAGGGATCTAAAGAGTTATATCACGCTACAAAACCAGACTCCACACTCCTTTAGAGGGTCAAACGGAAGGCGAAGGTACGTTTCAGTCGTCCGTCGGTTTTTCACTGCGCTGCTTGCGGTTCAGAACAGCAGTCGGTGATGCAGAGTGGTGGTGTGACATCGGTGACATACAGATCTCTCCGAATTGGCTTGTCAGGAGCATGAGCCCATGAATGTTCATGAGAAACACTGAGAAACTGCCAGGTGAACCTCTTCGTGTTGTGTTGCTGACCAATGGCGAAGGAAGCATCCCAGAACAAGGGTCTCTGTTGATGCATGCAACTCTGAAATCTATGGTTCATACTTGCCTTATTGATTGAATATAGACTTTCTACACAGGATCTTTGTTGATTATAGACTTGTTTACTTACCAGTGATTCCAACCGGCCCAGCAGTTGCTGGCCGAACCCTAAATTCACGTTGTGAGACCGTCCACCGGTCATCGCAGACCTCCGTGGCCCCAACCGGAGAGATCCGTGTCGTTCCATCGATGGACAGACTCATAGACTCGATGCACCACGTCCACTGGCACGGTCAACGCCCCGTTGGCGGGAAGCCTCACCTCCGGAGATGTGGGATTCTTGACCAAACATCGACGGCAGAACCAGTTTTTGGATGCTTTTGGTTACCACCGGCAGCAGGGCGCACCGCCTGTCTCAACCCCTGTATCACCCCTCCAATCAAAACAACGTCCCCAACAAGACGGGTTGATGCGCGTGGCTGCCGCACGAGCCATGCGGCGCCGCGGCGAGAGCGGCTATACGACTTGCTGGTGCCCGACGTCGGCGCGAGCCTCTGTGCCTGGGTGGGGATGCGGATGGATGGGATGAGCTGTGGATGCCACAAGCAAGGAGGTGAGGTCATGCCACGGAGTGAAGCTACACTGGTTGACGCGGTGAAACTACTGGTGAAGCTACACTGGTTTACTCTTCTGAAGTTCCTGACGGGGCTCGGTGCAACTGTGGAATGAGCAAATGTCAGGTTTGACATCTACCCTCACCCTACATATATATATATATATATAGGGTCCAGGACCATCCTGAAGGTGTTTTTTGGCACGCCAATTCGACCATTCTGCCGGAATAGAGGCCTTGCCCGGAAGAAGATGGAACGCTCCACTTTGGATTACACCACCACCCACCCAGTGACAGTCCCAAAGAATGGGATTCACTATGGATCAGCTGACCCTCTACTGTTCAACAGACCTTATATGGGATCCAGAATGGGATTCGATTTGCCCCATCACACACTTTGTTCATAGTGTGCAAGGAGGGCAATGGTGGACATACACTTTCGATGTTCAAGGGTTTGTGCGAGATGTTTTTTAAGAGAGACAGCTGGTGCGAGTGTCTTTCTACCTTCACATGTTTCCCAGGTCCCGAGCGTTCGCATGGCTTCTGGGGATGTCAAGCTGTATACTGTATAAAGTTCACCTTGGGCTTGTGATTCGCAACCATCCCCCTTAGCCTTGCCTAGAGTCCTTCCGGATGAACATCACGTGGTGCAAACGTTCATCATGATGGTTTACTGTTCACAGGACAGGGGACGTGCGGAACCAATTATGGAGTCGTTGAGTTCCTGCAGAGCACGTGCGCAGACATTGGCCTGGCCAACACTGCATCCTCGGCCCATTTGCAAATCCTCAGAGCCCGCAAACCTGAAGACTTGTCTTCATGCGTGTTCAGCACATCCATCGCATGAGTCGACTTGTGAGTTCAGCACAGCCAACAAAACTCCCAGTGAACCACGGGCACCTTCGTCTTGCGAACCCTGGTGCTATATATGGGCTATGGGCACTTGATGTGGCCCTTCGTTGGCTCGAACGTTTGGCGACATGCGGTTTAAACAGGGAGACCTCTGAGTTCGACAATTTGGAAGAACATCGACTAGAATGACTAGAACCACGTGGCTGGAGGGTCGCCCTAGTTCAATACATTTCAACCCACACACTCATCGTTCACTTTCGGAGAGTGCTGCACCCATCACTGACTCCTTGGAGGTGCCATGTGGTTGGTCCTGAATTCGCGATCGATGCTTGGCAAGGTGGCTTGCGCTGGCGAAGTGTTCTACTTCAGGGGAATTTAGCTATCTATAGATCAGATGTGTCAATCAAGAACACAACCAGATATGTTGGCGGCTGGTGGTGTATCTTGTCCTATTTCAAGACATGTCAAGGACAACAGCTGATGAATCCGTACGCACGCCTTGTGGTGGGTCCCGACGGCGGTCTTCGAGACGCCAGCCGAAGTTGATTTATGCGAAGGAGTCGTGAGTCTTAACAAGGGGGTTCGGGGTGGCAGACGGGGACAAGTGCATGTAAACCACATTAGCCTGCTGGTGTTCATGGATTGCCATATGTGTTATTGTTGGTGGGTTCATGATGCAGAAGATGCAAGGCATCTGAGTCAGTGGATCACTAGCATCATCCCCACACACTGGAGCGGACAAAATGCACCCATATACTGTAGGTGACACATGTGTATTGAATCTTTGGATGACATTCGACTCAGACGTTGTTGTTCACAGTTCATCATTGCGGGCGGCTCCACTGCTCAGAAAGCACCAGACACATCAGTATATAGGCTTCAACTGCTGAGAAAGGACATGGATTGCGTGGCCCGGGTGATATAAACATAAAGCCCGCACAGGTGGCGCACTCCACCTCCATGAAGACTTCAAGGAGTGTAAACCTCACCACCCCACCTTGGAAGGACCCCCCTCTTTGGAGACCAGCATCGATACCAAGTGTCGGAGCAAGAGGTGACCAACTCGGCGACCGACATGCGCAAGTTTTGGAGGGGTCAAGCGGGACTTCGTGGGGTCCGTGTGCGTGGTCGGAGCTTCAGAGGAGGAGAAATGGTCGGCGCTTCACAGGTGCAACTCGACCAGTTTCAAGTGCAGATGGCAACTACTCTGCACTCATATTGTTGTAGTCTCCTGGCTTTCGTTTCCCCCTTCTCAGGTTGGTCTCAATGCCAGGTACAGTGACTGCATGGTTGCTCCTTTTGAGCCCCAAGTGCCGGGGGAGCGGCACCCCTTTTGAGCCCCAAGAGTTGGCCCCGCATTCCATGAATCCACAGACTACCAGACACTGTTCAGGCCGATGTCCAACCATTTGGGACCTGGTTGCTTTGCCGGCTGGACTTCGCCGGCTTTGCTAGTCGCGTCGTCTTCCTCTCCCTAGGGCTCCAACCACCTCCTGAGAAGATGGTTGGGGTGGGTTTGGGGGGTCTAACCACCTCCTGAGGATATGGTTGGAGCCCTAGGGTCTGCTAAGGACTAGTTGGAATCTGGTCGAGCGGGTCATCTTCCCTGCGCCAAAGCCTTCCTACAGCCTCGAGGCTTGGCAAACAAGGCTTGGCCAGCCCAGGACCTACAGAGGTTAAGTGACCTGAACTAGGACCCGTCACCAGGGGTACCGAACTAGGATAGTCTATAGGCTATAGGGTTCTTCAACCTCTGCTGGGAGAAGGATCCAGCATGGAAGGATGTAGCGACGCCAGTGCTCGGAGGGAGACTGTAGTAGAGGGATGAGGTTTCTACTGAAGATAAAACACAGGTCAGGTGAGAAAATGGAGAAACAGAACGCCAGAATCACATTAAAACTAAGCTGTTCCTCTGAAAGCTGGGAGCTACGGTTCCATCAGCAGAATAGACCTCACGAGATTGGACGAGATAGGTTCTCTTTGTTTCTTTATACGCGAAGTAAACGGTGTGTTTTTCGGATTTCTACGGTTCAACATGGTTTTGGGAACCATGTGGTCGTCTGGTTCCCCAACCCAGCAGCTTGTGACTGAGAGTCGACCGAGAGTCCTTCCCGGCCTGTGCGGCCCGAGACCAAGAGGGTCCGAAGCTCCGAAGGAAACCGTCGCAAGCAGCCAGCGGCGATGGACCGACGATCGAGACAATCCCAGACACGACCTGTGGACTGGAATGTCTTGTGCCGTGCCCATGAATTGGACGCCGGAAATCCACCACCTATGATCCTATATATGTACAGTACGATCTGAACGCCTCAGGACAGCTTTCCGCGTGAGTTGATCCTGGTCCCACGCGAGGACGGGTGCGTGGCACGCGTGCGGCTTGAGCGTGCGTGGAGCGAGGACGGGTGCGAGAGCGTTTGGAGCGTCCGCTGCGTCGGGATGGAGTGAAGTTTGAGTGAACGACTCATGGCGATGGTGAGGACGTCTTTAGGATCATGAAAGGATGAGTCAAGAGATGTTGTCAGACAAAACTCGACTCATAGTCATACGGCGCTTTCACAAGTGGCTGTCTTCATTGGAGATCGGACTTTTGACACTGATGCGGGAGCAATCAGAATGCTGTGAGCAGCCTGCCTTCATGGTGAAGTTTGGTTTCCTAGACTTTGGATGACTTTGACTCCAAGCATCTCCAAGCATGATAGGTTGGAGGTCTGTGGATGTCCGGTGTTTGATCCGCTGAGTCCATGAAGTCCGTTCTTTTGTTTTTGGGCCGGGTAGCCCATGTTGTCCTGGGATCAAGCGCTGGTTTTTGGGTGGATGACTGGAGAACAGGTGAAGTGGAGAACAGGTGGCCTGCTCCAAAGATACCTGGGAAGAACATGACTGCCTTATCCGGAAGTGACATGCCTTATCCTTGCGATCCCTCAGGTTCACATGTGACCAGCGAGCGAGCTAAGCCAGAGCGAGCTTTGCCAGATTGCCGAAAGAAGTGCGCTCCTCTGAAATCGAAGGAGTTCACCAGCTGGTTGTGTTCGCCACATCCATATTTGTATACTGAGAACATAGGGGGTGGCCTTGAGAGGGGGTCCCCTTAAGCCACGGCCCATCTGAGAACGTTCATGGTCCAATTTTAGGCCATGTTCATGTCCTCCACGTGACCATGAGGACAAGTTCGAGTCTACACGATCTCGCCAGGATGGTCTGCAGGTGCCGTGCCTTTTCCTTCCCTTCAGACACGTCGCTTGGCGGATCGGCACGTGTCTTCGGTCAAGCGAATGAGTTCGGTTTCAAAAGGACTCTCGTTCGGCTGCCCGTTTGGCTTCCGGTCGCCCACCATTGATCTTGTCTGAATCCAGAACCACCCAGCTGTCTTAAGGATTTTACCAGAAAACAGGCTCCACCAGGCTCCCAAGACATGTTAAGTGACCTTATAGGACCCGTAACCAGGGGTACCTATAGGATAGTCTATAGGGTTCTTCAACCTCTGCTGTTCCACCATTTTTGGGGTATCGTTTTGGAAGGCTAGGGTTGGAGACTTCCGTCAATTCCTTCCTTTCGTCGCACGACCGTCGTCCGAGCCAGCGCGCGACTGCAGCCAGCGAGGATCGGTGACGGAGAATCACCAAAAGAAAGGGAATTGGGTGTGGTCGGGTATGGTCCCATGGTCCATACTTGTAACCCCTAGGGCTCCAACCATATCCTCAGGAGGTGGTTAGACCCCCCAAACCCACCCCAACCATCTTCTCAGGAGGTGGTTGGAGCCCTAGGGAACATCTTGTAATGTAATTTCACCATACTCAGACATTGATGACCATAGTCATAGTCAGACATTTGGGTGTGTTAACCATATGATACCCCTGGTCCAGTCAATTGGGTCATGTTAACCATACCTAGATACGACCTGTCTGGGATTGGAATATGTGCCCATCCATTGAACACCAGTTGTTTGTAAAGGAGCATGGTCTTCCAAAAGCCATGCCATCCACGTAACCATGTGATGTGTTCGTCATATGAGCAACGGCTTTTATTTGCGGTAGTCAAGATAAGTGGAAGGGGCGTTCCTTTTTTCTATAGCCCAATGTCAGATTTAGTTAGCAAAACGAGGTAGGACACACCCGAGAACGAGATTGGCATCAATTGCGCCATTTGTTTGAAATGGTTTTGTTAATGACATGTTTACCTGGTGAAACGAGGTAGGAACACCTCTCGAGAACTAGATGGGTATACATTGCACAAAACAGATACAGGAATGGAGAACGAGATTACACCCCAAAAGCGATGCGAGATTGGAGAACGAGGTAAGGAAGGCCCATGTGAGAACTCAACGGAAATAATCGGAAATATGTTCCATCGCTCATATTGTGTAGTATTTAGAACCTGGAGCTTCCAACTTGCTGAGACCGTTCTTGTTTGCAGCACCAGACCGTCCATAGTTCAACAAAAACTCAGCTTCGCTTCGCTTGGACGGCTTGGACATCTACCAGCATCATCCAGCATCTACGTCTATGTATAGTTTCATATACATCTATATGTTCAACTATCTCCAGGGTGTCCCAGCAAAACACGCGGATCAGGTGATGTTTGATGTTCCCGAACTGGGCCAATCCCCGAAACTGGGGGTTTCTTTCCAGGTGCCTGAAGCAAAACCAAGTAACACTTTATCACTATTATGTATTTTTTGATAAACGCCTTTACTAGCCATCATCATTCATTGTTGCTGGCAATAATATCCAATATTATCCCATAGATAGTAATATCATTTAATATCAGATCTCTTACACATATTTCCTTCTTGCTTTGATCCAAGTTTGCCATGCTTTGCACCAAACCAAGACTGTATTTGTTCATATTTTTTCTGTTTTGGATCAAGTTGGAAGATCTTGGAAGTCGCCCTTAGGTTGAATGACCTAGACTCCATGAAACTGGAATAGATACGCCTATAGATACACTACATACCATCCCTTTTCAACCACTCCTGACTCCTAGCCTGATCGCCTGATCGGCAATTATGCCACAGCTCCCCTGCGGAGGATGGACAAAAATAACAACTACGGAAAGCGAGTGAGGCACGGTTCCTCTTCATCTACTTCCATGCAAATGCTGAAGATCTGGGATTGAGCTATAGCCCCTTGGGCGTTGATTTTGCGGCCACGGTGGGGTGGCTCTTCATGTGTTTGCCATGAGGCTGAGACTTTGGTCTTTTGTTCTTCAGAACCATAGAACTTCATCAAGGGTGGACGTGTTGGAAGACTTCATCGGTTGGTTTGGGTGTGATTTCAAAGCTATTACTGGTATCCTTATATATCATTAATCTATAGAATCCAAAGGGATTGTTCTATTACAACCTGTTTTTCGAATGCGGTAGCATATACGTATTAGATTCGAGTGTTATCACCCATGTTGTTTGAGGGTTTCTGTATGTTAAAAGAAGGTCTCCATGAATCTTTGATCTATGGTGGACGGCTTCTTCCCGTACGTTGTGAAGATCATGTCTATAGGTAATTCCATGTTGTGTCATTGCATAAAAGGACGGACTTGTTCCCTTTTTGGGCATGCATGCATTACATAGAGCCAGGCCGAGATCATGTAATTTTGTTCTACACCCTTTTTTGCGGATCCTTATTTGTATGTAGAATTGACTTGAATAGCAACAATACACGTGGCTGTTATTACTGAACACGCTCCCATGTGTCAATTGAGTTTGAAGGCCAACGCTTCCGCGCTCCACTCGACTCCGCTTTGGAGGGCATCCTCGGAAAACACAAAAAACAGATCGACATGCATGACCCTACTAAAAAACAGGTCCTGTACCTGTATACGAACTGAGACTCTATAGGTACATAATATGTTGCATATGTTCAGACCGCGGAAAGATCTTGGGCACGCGAAATCAGGAATGGTCAGGAGTGGTATGTACCCTTTCCTATCGGCAAATGGGTTCTACTCGTATAGGTATATATCTCTAGGTTCGTCAGATGCTCATCCTCCTGGGCCGTTTTTGAGGCCACGTGAGTCATTGGAAGTTGGGTACTTGTCAAGTATCTCAAATCAGCAAGTTGGGTAAATTGTGTTGTCTTTTATAATGATGGAGTCTGGAGATTTAAGGTGAACCCCAAGCACGTGTGGAAACTATATGGGTGGGTGTGTGTTGCACTAGGGAGACCTTTGAGTGAACCCCCCCCGTAGTTACGAGATTTACAACACCTATCAGTATATACACCAAAGCCAATCGAATGAACAGGAAGCCACCAGGTGATCTCCCGCTGGTCCTGATCTGTCGCGCGCGCGCGCTTCGTCTTCCGACACAAAGACGAGAGAAGTGTCGGCCGTCGAGGCTTCTGCAAAATTCTGCGAGATCTCTTTCAAGTGCACGTGCCATGGAAGCAACACAACCCCCTCATGAGCCATGACAGTCATGACATCATGTACCAATTTGTGTCGTGTTTGTTTTGCGGATTTTTTTGGTGTTTTTATTGGGGATGCTTCCCGAACTGGGTCAATCCCCGTTTCACTGGGGAATTTATGTTATGTCTGTCCCCTGACTCCTGGACAGCAGCAACTCCAAGTTCTTGACTTTTCATCCCCAAAAACACCAAATTCTGGTTCTCGGTGGTGCTGGTCAACGGGAACTGAAGTGACAGAAGATGGAACAACCTGGAAACTCAAATAACCAGATAGTCCGAAACGACAAAACAACACAAACATGTCTCCATTTCAATAACCCAGACACTCCATGGGACTGCCATAGATGCCCTACATTGACCCCTGAAACAACCATAGAGCGTTTGTTGGTTTCGGGCACTGAGGGATTGGTAGAAATTGGAGCCATCCCTGGAAACCCAGTCCCAAAATAGAAGTAAATGGTTGTCCCAATACCCAGACACTCCATGTATGCTGCCATATATGCCGATCAGTATCAGTTGGGGTGGTGCCAGGGGGGGTCAATTGATCGGCATATATGGCAGTCCCATGGAGTGTCTGGGAAATGGTTGTCCCAATATGTCTATGTTGATCCTGGAAGACTCCATCTGCTGTTGAGTACTGAGACTGGGTTTCCAGGAATTAGCTTTTGGCACAACCTGGGGTCGAGCTCAGGCCAACATAGGAAGGTACGGACTTGTTTGTTTTTTCCAATTGCAACTTTCCTCCTCCTTTGCAACTTCTCCACTTGGGTCGTTGCCTGGTCAAAACCAAACATGTTGGATTAACCTGTTGGATCTCTTCCAACAAGATGACCACCTTGTCAACTTCCAAGATTACCTGTAAAAACCGGTCGGACCGGCTGTGGATGCCAGGTGATGGCTGTGGAATACCCCGGCTACGGAGTGTGTCCCGGCACCTGCGACGAGGAGAGAGATGGAGAGCCGGGTTAGATCCCGAGAGTTCCTCAAACACTCCCAAGAGTGCGGCATACCTAAAACATCCTTCGGCTATTCTAGTATTTGTGTATATACAAAGGTGCTTCTAGGTATTTGCCTACATTCACATACAAGTCGAGTTAGACCCAGTAAAACATCTTTTTTTTAACCTCCTAACAAGTTGTGTTTTTGTAAGACCAACTCCAGTAAAATGAGGTCATTGACTCGTAAGGATTGGTGTGGTTTCACAGGTCAATGTAGGCATCTCTTCCATACATGGAGTGTCATGTCTTTTTCCAGGACCATTGTGAGTCATGTCCGGCCCCAGTTCGACCCTCCTCCAGGGAACTCCTGTACTCACCGACCTCTTAAGCCAGGCTTTGTACCTTAAGGACCCTGTGGGATAGAGATGCACCAAGGAGGCTCTGTCACCGAGCTGCGTCGCCCAGTCCTCGACGGTTTGGCCGGTTCGCGCAGGAGGGTGTCATGGCGAACGCCTCCGCAGCGATGCGCTTCGTCTTGGAGACGCTTCGATGGCCCAAAGCCTCTCGGTGGTGGATGGCTGTCCTGGTTCCGTCAGAATCCTTGGGCTCTCCGTGCCAGGGTCGCACCCGACCTCTTTGCAGGGGTCCGGACCCGAAGCAAACCCTATAGGTATATGTGTTTGAGGGCCCGAATTCTTAGGGTTGGGTGCATGGGAAAGCAAGCATTTACACATCGGTGTTTGCCGCAGTATTAAAAAAGCATTCGAAAGTCACTCAGAAATTCTTCAGGGACCATGTGTGTCTCACGATGTTTGTCTTTCACACACCTATAGAGGTGGGTTTTGACATAGTGAGGGGTATTTGTTAGATTCCGCTCTCCAAGTGCAAGCTCTGGACAATCAAACTTATAGGACGTATATGGAACTGCTGCAAGCTCAGCAAGCTCTGTTCCATGTATTTCCATGTCATTTGTTGATGTTCCCCACAAAAGACGAAATGCAACATTCACAATCTTCCTATCAGTGATTTGTCTATCACAGTGGATAATTATGGGGCTTTAGTGATAAGGACAATAATGGTGAAGGAAGCACGTGCTGCATTGTTTCTCAGCATCCAACTGTGACACAAAGATCCTTTCTGAAGGGTGAGAGTGTTTATGTTATATTTTTAAATATACACACATGGTGTTTACTTTCTTGTTCTCGCATTCTGTTTCACCCAGTTCTACCAAATGAAACATTGCCAGTTAACTGACCTCATTTTCCTCATTCATGGCTGTCATCGCCCTCTGGTCCCATCTGACGAACCCCCCTTCTCCTTCCTGAGGATGGCATCAAGCTCTTCGGCCGCTCCTTGGGGACGGCTCCCACCATCCAGTTGGCCACACGTGTGGAGGCGAGGTTCCACGTACGCGCTCCATGGACCAGGGCTCCGGGTAGACCGGTAGATCAGATGGTCTTCGTACCTTTTGTTTGCATTGATAGTGTCATGTCCGTTCGTACCTTTTGTGCTTGTAGTTGTTGTGGTTACTTGTTGCGATTACGAAGTGGTGGGAATGAGCTAAATAAATAACATAACCCTAAACTGAAATGCAAGTAATGCAACGCAACTTGATAAGCGTACTTGGTATCACCAATCCTTCTAGATTTACCTGGCCAAGACCCAAATATCGAAAACGATGTTGATGCATAATTGCCATGGGCGGAAATCATATCCGGTCAACGCCTGGATCCTGGCGAAACGCCCGCCAGCACCAGCTGTTTGCTTCCTGATTGAGCTTCTTGGTTGACCCGATCTCTTGGAACCACACCTTCCTGCTTGACGACTGTTATCCCTAGGGCTCCAACCATACCCTCAGAAGGTGGTTAGACCCCTCTCGCCCACCCCAACCACCTTCTCAGGAGGTGGGACAGGAGCCCTAGGGTATATTTGCTTCAAATCCTCTTTTGGCTGTTTATCGGTGTGAACTAGAAGTATCATGTAAGCTACGTATCGAGCTTTTGGGTAAACTAGAATCAGTGCGTGAAGAGGATCAATACCTTGGGTCTGTCGTAACAGTCAGTGAACAAGCAAATCACTATTTTTGAACACGGCCTGCAACCTAACCATCATCATCCACTGTTGCAGGTTTATCATAGACCCAATCAATACCTTTGTTTGACTCTTTGCAATCTGCCTCTTCTTGGCGGATCGCAACTGGACAGTCCAGTTTACCACAGTTCTCAATCAAAGAGCTTCAGAACGGTCGACACCGTGTCTAACCTTCAATCTGACCGAAAAAAAACCGATGTACCCCGGGATCACTTGGAGCTCTACCCATCATGTTCAGAGGCTTTTGTTGGCTCTGTTTGACGCTTGACTGGTCCTGCCAAAATGGACAAAAGAGAGAAAGCCGCTAAAACCTGTCTCTTCGTCCGTGCCACGAACGAGAGTGTCTCTGCGGCCCGTCACACACCGAGAGTGCTTCGTTTCGTCCTGACCGGTTCCGGTCCAGTCCTGACGGTCCGAAGGTCGGAGGGGATCCAGTCGTGTCCACTGAGTCGGTCGCCCAGGTTGGAGGAGTGATTCTGGTGAGCCCTTTCACCAGTGCCTTGGGCAGTTCGAAGATGGGACGACTGAAGCAACGACACACTGGGGGGCCAATGGCAGCGCCTTTGGAAAGAAGATGAAAGAAACGACTCACGAACATGGAAGTGGAAAACCACCTGTTTGTAGTGGAAAATGATCTTCCGTGGGGCCATTGTCCATTTCCATGGTAGTGAGCGGGAGTCTATAGGGGTTTTCTGAACGCTCACAACTTGGGGGTCTTTTGTGTTCCCATGCATGAAACTCACCGAACGCTCGCAGTGTCCGGCGTAGGTACGATCCATGGAGAGTGTGAGATCTGGGGGTGCCCCATGTCACATCCACGGCCCCCACGGCCCCCACGTCGGAGGTTTGCACCGGCGATGTCCACGAGCCCTGGTGTGGCTCTGACCTCTTTCTAGTTGTTCTTCAACAAAAATGTGTTTGAAGCGGTGAAGCTAACTGGTGGAAGGGAATCCTTCACACTGACCATCCTCGTTGCCAAAACCATGGTCTATGAAGGACGCAGTGGATGGACGAAGATTGATCTGGACAGCCACAACAACAAAAAAAACAAGATGGAGCCCACGAACCGCGAACCCAAATGCAAATGCAAACACGTACTCAAAAACAAACGCCCAAACAATGTTTGACACTCTTGTAGGAGGCACTCTTGTAGAACGCTCTTGTGGGACACTCTGGTGCGACGCTTTCGTCACTCTGCAGACACTCTTGCAGGACTTGTAGGACACTCTTGTGGGACACTCAGACACTCACGTACGACACTCACGTACTCAGATGTAATTTGGCCACATAAGTTGACAGTTCTGAGGCCACAGCTCCCAGAAGCTGCTTCCCATACTACATTTGTACTACAAAGCTGCCAGTTCTACATCTCCCACTAAGTTCACGAGTGCTGCTTTTTGTTTTTCCCTTTAGTGCTCCATCCAACAAGGCAGGGACAGAGCACTACTTTGAACCACAGCCACCGGCTCTTGAGAAAGTAGGTTTAGCTTCGCTGTGCCTGGTTATGCAGGAGGCCAGTCTGGGGCAAGCCTTTAGAGCGTACATGTGTGTGTGTGTATGTGAAGTTGTTGAGATTGGATTCGGTAAAAGCCAGGTAGCTAGCAAGGCAAAAGCTAGGTAGCTAGCAAGGCAAAGCGAACGAGGTAACCAATCAGCACAAGTAGGTGGATTGCCCTTTGTGGAGCTTCGTTGATGGTATGTTTAAGAAAGGCTTGGCCAAGAACGGCGTGCAGAACTTTCCGACCGAACCGTGCATCGCACTGAGAACAGGACACTGATCCTCAGCGCGGCAAGTAGCCTCTACCTCAGCCGCGAGGATATTTGCCGCATGTTGAGACTGTTGAGACTGGTGGTAGAAGAAAGCTCGGAGAAGCGCCTGCCCATAGAAAGTATCCTGGTGCTTGCATCCCAATACTGCTTATGATTGCTTGGCGTTGAGTAGGTGCCTTTGAACTTTGAACTTCAAACTTTTGCCCCCACGGCCGAACTGAGCCAGCCTGCGCACACGCAGGCGGAACTCGGGCACCAGAAGGCTCGCCACAGCAGACTGTAGTCAACAATCTGGTGTTGAGATTGAAAATGACTAAGCAACCTCTACTGCAACACATCCAAAGCTTAGTGGCCGAATAACACATGTAAATACCTAGTGCTGGGAAGGAACTCTTTAGCACCTCTGGGCGTTTGTCAGATACCTTTTGCCATGTAGTTTTGTAAACAGTTCAAGCCTTGGGGCAATGTGAGAGAGCCTATTGCGTTTCAGCCTGCTATTTCTCGCAGAATTTTAAGTTGGGCAGGTGACAAGCCAGTGGAAACAAACAGCAAATCAAAGACAAGGAGTGGGGAGGGCGGGACCCCACAAAGTCTTCCCAAAGCCATTCCCTCACCCCATGTTTTGTTGGACTTCGTGGGGCCTGTGTGCACACAGGCAGGACCAGCAAGGAATTGCTTACGTCCCCAGACACACCGGGCTAAGTAAGTCCACCGTTGATTGTTGCCTATTTTTCTACAACTGCAATTTCTCCACATGTTTGTGGCGCAGCGCGGCTCCTGGCCGCAGGTGGTTGAACTTGATGCGCGTCATCCTGTCGCTCGGTGTGGGTGATGGCTTGTTGTGACATTGGCCCAGACGTTGTGATTCCGGATGATTCGGGAAGAAGCTGAGCGCTGTTGGTGGGTATGTGGTGAAGAGGACTGCCTTTTCACGCTGCCCGGCGCCCGCTGAAACTTCACATCAGTACATAGAGTCGGCCGCCAAGATGAAGATCGCTGCCAAGAAGGTTGTCAAGAAGACCCCAAAGATTTGTACCCATTGCCAGAAAGAGGCCAGGCTATTCTGAATGGTACAAATACGTCGTCTATCATTCAGACACGTGGGCTGAGTTCCCCGACGAAGGTGAAATCTCCGACGGGGCCCTCAAGGCATGGGCAGCGATCATACCAGAGTTTTGGTCTTGGTGCACCCGTAATATGCCTGAGATATCGAATGGTGTTAAACAACCCACCTATCGATTCCCGCCGATTCCCGCCCGGGTACTATCAGAAAACCTATAAATTTATTCCACTCCGGCAAGTCCGCTCCTCAGCAGCGGCGTCATCGCAGGCGGCAGATTCACTGCTCAGAGTTTCATTGAGTTTGGCTCATGAGTTCGGTTCACTGCTCAGATCCCACCGACGAAGCGGCAGAAGGTTCCAGCTGAGCATCTCTACGCGGGAAGCGCCAGAGTTTTGGAGTGATTGAGAAAGAAGTTGTGAGAAATTGTGCTTGTGCATTTTACAACCGAAGGGCTTTCACACTTATGATTTATTATCCATGCTTCTACGATATTGCATCAAGCTCCTTTGACTATGAGTTTTCCCTCATTGACAAGCATGTGTGTCACATCTCTGGGGAGGAACCTTTGTAGAGCCATTCCCAAAACCACCTGACTGCCAGGTGTTTGCGGCTGCAGGGCCCTTGTGGTACATTCTTGTGCACTCTTGTGGGACACCTTATGTGACGCTCACTCTTGTGGGACACTCACGCGGAACACTCTTGTAGGACACTATTGTCGGAGACTCTTGCGGGACACTCTTGTAGGACACTCTTGTGGGACACTCTTGTCCGAAACTTGTGACTCTTGTGGGACACTCTTGCAGGGCACTCTTGTCGAACACTCTTGCCGGCCACTCTTGTGGGATACTCTTGCGGAACACTCTTGTAAGACGCTCTTGTGGGTCACTCTTTAAAACACTCTTGTATGGCATTCTTGTAGGACACTCTTGCGAAACACTCTTGTAGGACACTCTTGTGGGACTGACAAAGAGTCACGAACAAGAGTCTACCCCCAGACCCCCAGAGTTAAACGAGAACCCTTCGCTGCGCATTCGGGAATAAGTGGAAAAACTCTGGCTCTGACCATTTTGAGGCGGGTTTTTGATGTACCAACTTTGCCTGCCAGTGCCAAAATTACAAGCTGCACAACTCTGTTCTTGTTTTTCCTTCTGCGTGGCGAGTTGTTCACTGCAATTTCATGTTGTTTGATTGTTTGTTGGTAATCAAAAGTTCTTTAGTTTTGTTGTGAAAGGGCAAGCTCTTTCAAGGCTTAGAAAACAAACTTAAACAATTTTTAGCGAATTCAGGATAGTTAACCTTCTTGATGTCGATTTTAAAACCTCGAGTTTGAAAACAATCCTGTTGTCACAGGTTTCAAGCGAAGAACCAGAAGCGAGACCAAATTGGAAAAAAACAGTGCCGCTGGATCGATTGGGCATGAAAAAAAGGTCCACGTTAGCTGAAGAGATCGTAACTCAGAACATATACTGCATCCACAACGGACGTTAATATCCCAGCCCCACCCCCCACCCCACCCACCCAGAACCCATGTTTATCACAATTCACACATAAAATACATGATAAATCAAAAAAACCTCAGAAACACAACGGCCCTCTATCGGCGGTGTTCCAACTACCTTCTGAGGATGTGGTTGGAACATTAGGGATGTACCACCATAGAATTTTGTTCGACTCGTCCGCAGACGCAGGAAATCCACATTCCACATGACCTTCAATTTTGTTTTGTTCCGTTTCGTACCTAGTCCGTGGATCACCTTTAACATCCTTTAACCTTTTTGGGGGATTGGTGGCACCCCACTAAACAAACTAAATAGGTGGAACGTTCAGTGAACCTTTACTTTCCAATATCCATCTCCAGCATCGGGAGTCGTTCAGCTTCGTTTCGTTCATTGATCGCCCCGCTCCGTGCCCCCCAGGCATCAAGGAGCTTTTTCGCCACCAGCTGGGGCGCTTGGCCGATTTGCTCTCCGATCGCTTCAAGAACCTGGCTGCTTGTTGTGAGGTCGCCGAGTCGTTGGGGCGTGCGATGCCCGGCAGGGCAAGGCAATGCAACGCGCGCACGTGGCAACAGGGTGATGAGATAGGTAGGTTCCATGCCGGTGGTGTTTCAGCAACCTAATGGCTCCAAAGAACAATAGGGATGTGGCTGTGGGGGTGGGACAGTGGCCCAAAACTGCTCTGGGGCTGTTTGAGCCCAAAATCAGGGCGGAGCACGGCGGTCCGCGGTCCAGGTATAGGGCCGCCCGATTTGGCGATCGGAATCTGCTCTTTGAATGCAAAATATGTTGGCACGTTTTTTCCGCACGGAAATCATGAAAGATCTTCCTGTTGCAAAGTCCAAACACTCCCAAACAAGCAACCTGCCGCTTCCAGCAATTGAACAAAGGCTGGATACATATGTTGCCAGCTGGCGGCAACATGTGAGTTTAGGGACGTGTAGTGTATGTGTAGCTTACAGTATCTGTTTCAAATGTGTGTTGGGGCTACCCAAATAACTAAGCACCCTTCATACGACCCTTTCGTCATGTGTTGGACCGTTGGACCTCACATCAAACGTCCAACATCAAACGCACGGTCACCAGGGGGACCTCACCACGGTCACCACGGTCAATGCTGAAGTACTCAGGACTCGACGCCCAAGATCACCAGTCCCACCTTGATCATCCATGGCCAACAAGATGCACTGGTGCCTCTGGACCGCCAAGCCCTCCGCGGATGGACAAGAAATGACACGGGAACGTTACACGACAACTGGATTACTGCCAGTATTTTTTTTGGGAAACGTTCTGTTGGTGTTGTTTAAGGATGTTTAAGGTGATTTAGTCTCTCTTTGGGTGAATCCCCTTCTGGGGACTAGTTGTCGTTGCCTTGCAGAAAGAACGGTGTGCCTTGCAGAGATCATGATGTCATGTGGCAGCGTCGAGACGGATGTGTCAGGTTCCCTTGATATTGTGATCATCAGAGCTATATTGAATGATCCCAGGGAAACCACCAAATCAACATCCTTCTCGATTCAGAAGTGGAAAGCCAGCTGTGCTGTCCAGTGGACGATCGTCAGTCCTACATGGCCCATGTTGCATGATTGCATGATGAAGTACGTCAGGATGACTCACCCATCCACCGCCTTTGCTTGTTTTTGTGTCACTAGCCGCCCATCCCGCAGGAGCATGGGAGGCTGATCTATGCCTCCATCACCTGCAAGCGGATGTTCGTGACGCCTCACAACATGAGTCACAACACCTCGCTCCTGAAGGACCGAGCGGATGGACCCTGCGGATGCGGAGCTGTTAGCGGATAGATTGGACCCCGAGCGGTGAGCGCGGGGGGTCTTTGGAGGTTTGAGGGGTGGAGATGGTGGGTGAGAAGTACGACGGCTGGTAGGAAAGCTATAGGGATATGGATGACGGTTGGCAATACCCATTATAAAATTTGGGTTTTACATGTGCATAAAGCGTGGCAATAGACCCCTCAAGGGGTTGGTGAATCATTTTATAGAGAAATGGTTTTATGTTGATGCTTGATCTTGCTTTTGAGTTGGACATGTGATGTGATTCATTTGGTCTTATCAAAAGGTGCATCAAAAAAACAGATACTCTCTTGATATCTCTTGATAGAGATTTGTTTGATCCAAAACCATATTTACAGTTGCAAGAGCATTGGCATACAAAAATTGTATAGAAGTCCAAACCGTCAATCATAGAATGTCAGAGATTTTGCCTTTATATATATATTATATACATGTCAGCCCACACTACCAGGACCGGTACGGTACAAACGTAATGAAACTATGAACAAACAGGGGGGTGGGACCCCCCATTTCATAGAGAGATAAACGGCATTAAGCCCCCCCAGAGAGACCAGATTGCCCAAAAAAATCAATAATTCAACCCACCACCGGACACACATCACAAATCCTAAGAGATTTGAGGCTGATGGCTTCAAAAGGCTAGGGGAATCCATCCAATGACAATTTTATTGAGCGGAAAGGGGATGGGATCCAAGCTGTAATCTTCCACCGTGATCCATCCAAAGCATGTCCATACATGTCTCCAAGCCACTCGCCATGTAGGTTGGGGGGAGGTGATTTTGTATATTTGCGTTTAAGGTTAGTTTGTCAAAATATAGTCCCACAGGGGGTAGAATCACCATGTTATATCATATATCTATAAAATGGGTAGTAAGACACCCCTAGCAGAATTGCCATAGGTATGGGATATGGATGAGGGTTGGGTGTCTTTGATGGTAAGGTGGTTTCTCTTCTTTGACCAAATTAACTGGTTCCCAAGTTCAAGGTCAAACTCGACTACTCAATGCTTCCATGCTGGAGGCCGCTGCAGCACGGGAATGCCTCCTTCCTGCTGCGCATTTCTCAAAGTGTCTCGTGGTGTGAGGAAGGTCTCAGGTACCCATTCCTTCGATGTGCTTCCCTTCTCCCCCCATCTGCTGGGTGCGATCCAGCAACACCAGCGAGCAGGATGCGGCAACCTTCATCCTTCCAATGACGCACTTCTTCTCCCTTCCAGAGACTTGGCCGGAGGTAGAAGTGTCTGGCCGGAGACCGGAGACAAGACGAGTTGAGACGATGGGGGTTCCATTTGTGTGGAAGAGACATGTTGTTTTTTGAAAAAGCACGCGGCTTGCAGCATGTAAATTGGAGCATAAGCTCTTGACTGTATGCTAAAACAGTTTTGCTGTTTTTAACTGTTCAGTTCAGTCTATCTTGAGGTTTGGTCCGTATATCCTAATCCTGTGAACCTTCATTCTCTTCATGACCATCGAACCAGGGCTTGGACCATTACAGCTCCTGGCCTGTGAAATCCTTTCTTGCTTTGAATCAAGCTGGTGGATGAAGAGTGCAAAACGAGTTGCTCCAGGCCACGACGAGGTGTGAGTTGCTCCCGGCCAAATACCATGTCTTTATTCCCAGTACATGGCAGGGCACGGGTGCGACTAGAATTTGAGCGACCAGGCAACTACAGGGCAACCGTTGCAAGCTTTGGATCACAACCCCATACAATCCCCCCTTAGAATCCGAACGTTCTCTCGGCCATGGAGGTCCGGACAGGCTCGGGCCCCGATTCGCCGGGCCCAGAGTTGTTCCATGTGATTCCCTACTTCGCACCGGTGTTGCTGGTTTCCTCATCGCGAGCCGATGAGCCGATGAGGACTCCGGAATGAGGTTCTATAGCACATATTATAACTCTATATAATAAGTAACTTAATGGCATCTATTTTTGCACCACCAACCACCCAGAATATGGAGGAGCTTCTATTTCGGTCAAACGCTCAAAACCGCCATGTTTAAAACGCCCCCTCGGCTTCCAAAAGTGCCGCCCAGAATGGCCTTCCAGGACTATACCTTCGAAGATCTGGAGCTTCCAGAATGGGTCTATCCCTCACCTGGCACGTGCCTCGACGACCCGCTTCGGCCTCACTGAAGTGGTGGGTTCGGCGCACCAAGTGGGCCCGGCCAATCGACGTTCGAGATGTCAAGGCCTGAAGCAGCTTTGGTGAGTAGAATCTATGTTTATTCCCTAGGGCTCCTGTCCCACCTCCTGAGAAGGTGGTATTCGACCCCCTGGCACTCACCCTAACCACCTTCGAAATGGAGGTGGTTGGAGCCCTAGGGATTGTGTGTTTTTGTTGAAAGAGATTGTGAAGTACCTTTACAAAAAGCTGTAGGTCATCTGTATGAACATCTTGGCATGTCAAACCCTTATAAAATCGCATGGTATAAATCCTTTTCACCAGGCCATCCGGATCAAAAACAGCTCCCACCCCCTACCACACCTCCGTACCCCACGCCTCTTTTTTGACACGACCCAGTCCCGGCACCAGGTGCTTGGAAGCAGCCTCCAAAGAGAGCAGCTTCTTCTCGGCCGCGCGGCACTGCGCGCGGCCTTGCCGTCACGCGAAGACGTCCTGGGAGGTCCGACGACGGTCGTTGGCGCCGACCCAGACTCGACTCATGGGACTGCCATGGGACTGCCGCCCCATTGACCCCGGTTTTCAACCACCCCAACTGATCGGCATATGGCAGTCCCATGGAGTGTTTGGGATATGATTTCATGCTGCTGAAAGCCAGCCAGGACACCGTGGTGGAGCCCATCAGCCACCTGAAGGCCATGCCCATGAGGCGCGGGAGGGTTTGAGAGTCCATCCAGTGTGTGCATAGCCTCATAGACCTGGAGTGGACCTGGTTCCTCTGAAATCAGAAAAGGGGAAGAAAATCCTAGACCTCACAAAGTGACAAGAAGGGGGAATCTGTGACCCAACAAGCCCAAACCCCCCAATCAGTTGTGTGGAAGCATTGTGTCCGGATAGCTGAGACTCTTTCGAAATGGGATAGATAGGGTCAGACGGGTCGTCTACGTCCGTTCTAAGGGACGAACCGAAGAAAAGGGTCGGCGAGAGATCCGGTTTTGCGGTCCGGTCCAACCCAAACAACATCAGGACGCACCAGAAGCAAATGGATCGTTCCCTAGTGACTTAGCTATGTCAAGAATCTCAAATATTGCCGGAACTACCATGTGTTTGTTTCTGGTTGAGACTGGTTCTCCAAGCGCGATATGGATTTTGGGCATGGGGTGCATCTCCTGGGAAGGTCTTGCATGTCCGGTTCTTGGACCTCAGGACCACCCAATCCTTGCAAAAAGGCTCGTGACTCGTGGTCTTTGAAGGACACCTCCACTGGCCCAACCCCAGTTTCATTGGTGAACACGAACGGCCCCCTGGGCCGTTCGTTCCAAGGAGTCGAAGGTGTTGGAGTGTTGGACGTCTTTGGATCTTTGTCTTGTTGGACCCAAATGAAGTCACACACACTTATTGGCTCCTGGACCCGAACCGATGGAGGCGTCGGACCCGAATCCTTTGGAGGGGTCTGGGGGTTCTCACCAATCCCTATGGTTTGGTTTGGGACCAGGTGGGCGTCGTTCACGGAGCGTCTGGGCACAAGACATGGCCCAATTGGTCCAAACGGTCGTGCGGAGTTAGGAGAAGGGCCTACCCGATCCGGTCCTCGGTCGTTCGCTTCTTCAAATTGTGACCTGGATAGGGAAGGAGTCCTGGATCGTGACCTCGGGTCGTAACAGGTCTATATATACAGCTCTAAGTAGTCTAAGTGACCTCAAACACCGGGATGAACAGGTTACTGCAGACAGAACCAGGGGTCAGACATTGGTTGGACAGCAACAGTTTGTTCTTGCTGTCCTCTATATATAGAGACCAGATGAAATATCTTTTGTCTAACCAGTGTGACAGGAACGCACTTGATACGTGTATGTGGCAGACAAGTTGGACACAAATTGACTTTCAAGATGTCCTACATCCATGCAGCACTTTTCTCCTTAACTAACTGTAACAAGTGCCACGCTAGTAGTAACAGGTGCCTTACTAGTAGTAACAAGAAGCTAGTAGTAACAAGTGCCACGCTAGCTACTAACTATCATAAAGGGGGATTCATCACGCTTTCGAGGAAACTGGGTCGACCAATAAGGGGGGACCCTTAAGGGTCGCGCCCCCCCCCCCGGAACGGTGACGTGCTTCAATGGCCACACCACGTGCGTCTTCTCCGACTGGTCTAGGTCTTCTCTAGAGGGTTGGGAAGGGCCTTAACAGATCTCAATTGGTGACTGGTTGGAGGATGCTGTTTTTTCTCATTTTGGGAGAGTTGAGATGATCAATCTGGGCGTAATCTGGGAGAAACTGGACGACGGCAGCCGATTCTGCCGATTCTCTCATTCGCGCGCTCGAGCAAGATCCAGCTCCATGTGTTTTGGGGGTTTAGGGGCTCTGTCTTTGATCAACCATCGGATCCATTAGGCTGCTTTAGCAACCCTGCGCATGGCTTAAAGAAAGCATGCGGAAGTGTTCAAAGCACCATGCTCTTTTACCCTCCTCAGAGCCCTCCTCAGAGCCGGGCGGAACATCCGGGGCGCTGTTTGGGATGCAGAACGCAGCAGCAGAACGCCCCAGCGATCGGGTTAAAGAAGCAGCAGCTCTTCAGCTGGACCGATTTGCAGGTACATCCGGTGGACTCCATTGATTCAATGGGTCTTCGGGTCTTCCAGTCGAAGAGGTCTTCCGTATCATCCGTAAAACCAACCCAAAGACCGCATTTAAGAGGTTCAAGAACCCGCTATAGCTATAAAGACTCTCCAAAAACGGACCAAAACCACCCACGCAAGGCCCGAGGCTCGCAGTGCCTTTGGACAGCGCCTTGGACTGTCCGTAGATCCTGAGAGAGTTTGTCCGTAGACTCATATTCTACCCCGAAGCGGCAGTGGTGGATGGGTTGACTTGCAGGTGAGGTAAACATTTAAGATGAATTAAAAGGATGTCGTCCAAGCCGAAGTTCTGGGATAGTCGCCACCGCCGCCGAACGCGATGGCTGAAGGACGGGACGTAAAAAAGAACGGAAGTGAAGTCAATCGCTGGGGGGCGGGGTCGTTTCTGGTGCCTAATGTGGTTTATTCATGTTGATCCTACGGTAAGGTGCACCGTCTTTACGTATTTTTATTTGAAACAGGAAGATGAACGATAATTACTGTATCATACTTTTTGCAAGAAGAGACAAGATGGGGGTAAGCAAAAACATACAAAACCTATATATATATATAGCTTGTGAAAATTGGTACGCTTGGGGGCAGTGGAAAAGTGGTGGGATAATGTGATACCGAGTCGATCTGTAAACGTTCTCGCGGTGAGGCAGATCGACTCGATCGATCCATGTTCTGAAAGCAGGTCCAGACGAGCCAGGTGTCGGTATACTAGTACCCAAACACTCCATGGGACTGCCATATATGCCTACATTGACCCCTTTTCAACCACCCCAAGGTAAATATGCCATATATGGAGCGTCTGGGGTACAGTGAGTTTCTGGATTTACTGGATATATCTGAACCCGACTTCGTTCGTACCCCTTGAAAAGGGTGACATCACAGCAGGGTTTTTCTCAGTAAGCCTGTAACAGTATCACTATGTTTGAAACGGCCCTATACTAATCATCATCATTCACTGTTGCTGGTTATGGGATGGACCCAAGACATGACCCTCTATGTTATGTACTTACCGATTTTCACGAGCGAAGACCGTCTGGACAGTCCGTGTCAGGAAAACTTGCTGTATGGATGTCGTGTACTTTAATTGGCAGAAGACTCGTCTATTTCTCAAACCCAGCAGGCTTGGAAGTTCTTCAACATACACTTTTCATCCAGCTCCAGGGGGTGGGCCCCCTGGGGGTGGGACCCCTTGAGCAGAGGCCTATGTTCTTCCCATGAAGACACCTGACACCTGAATCGCTCGCATGGAAGGACTTTTTCCGTCCATCTCGTCCATCGTTCGGCCCCGGTCGGGTGGGTCGCCCCACTGGTCGGGTCGGTGGCATGCCTGGCATGCAATTTTTTTTCCTCATTTCTCACCCAACGATTCCCTATACAAGTCAATGACCTCATGAAATACTGGAGTTGCTCATACAAAAGCACCATACTCAACCAGGTTTTCCTGGGTCGGAATGGACTTGTAGGGATTTTGTTGCAATTTTGGGTTGTTCTTAGTATACGGATTGTGATGAGGGCATGACAGATTTGGAACAGTGTAGCCCAACAATGACAGTTGAAACAGTTGCCTCTTAGGAAGCTCCAAAGTGACCTGGAAGATGAGCCTACCATCACCCTGCGCCTTGGACTGACCAAACACAAGGACGAGGTTCCACCCGGGCGAAAGGAGAGCAGCGGGTGACACAACGCATCTCAAGTTTTCTGGTTTCGGTGCTCAGAGATACCGCTGTGGCCAACTGAATGTAATTCGAAGGGCCCGAAGGAACAGGGCCACTCACGCAACGCAATGCATCATAGACATGATCAGATGGAACCTGAACACAAGTTGCTGCCGATCCGGTGTGCGGAACGAGTGTCGGACAATCATCGTTTGTTTGTGTTATATGATTGGGATTCCAAACGAGTCCAACCAGGAAAGCAACATGCACTTCTCGAACTTTCTATATACCCATCTGTGTGTACCATCCAATGAACATGAAAACGGTCAGTGGGCGCTGCCAGTGATACGAACTGGGGCTACACCTGGCTTTTGGGCATCTTCAGCGGAGATCAGTTCCCGGACCTTCAGACAAGGTCAGACATGCAAAAGGTCACTCTATTAGAGACTCCAGGACTCGAGGTCACGAACTGAAGGTCCTGGTGAATTGTGTGGACTGAATCATCACGACACAGCCTTTGAACATAGTTGTTACATGTTGTTACAATGGCTTGTTGCTGGGTCACTGGATGGTCGGCTTGCCGGGCATCCCAATACTGACTGTTTTGATCAGCATGACTTGAGGGGGCGATCGTTTTGTATCTTGAAGCGCATCGCATGCACAACATCCATGGAGCTCGCATGCGGCAGGAGTTGGGCAACTGGATCAACCCGGAATCATCACGTGGACTGAGTGAAAACCACCTGTTTGGAAATCGGAGGGGCCATGGTCATCCAAGGGGGGCATACCATCCAGTTTTCACGTCACCATGATGTCCAGTTCGAGTATTATTGGATACATATACTCGATAAGACTTATTATTGGACCCTTTTCTTCGTTCCTCCCTTGGAAAATGGAACGTATACCGTATACCCTCTAAGAACAGGTACCCGTACCCATTTGTTCCGGTACTTTGACACTCCAGTTTGATGTTTTGTACAAGACATCAACTACGCGTCGCCTCTCTCCGAAGGCCCTTGGGCACCGGAACAGTGCCCGCGGTCTCCTCGCTGGACATCGACGCGGCGCCGGAGATCCCCGAGGAGCTCAAGCCCGAAGTGCCCAAGCGCGCCTCGGCGCCCCCGCAGTGCGCCGGCGGTTTTTTCACGCGAAAGCGGGTGCCAAGATGGTTTGGTTGGTACGAAGATGTACGAAGTGCCCTCTCCAGATCGAGCCTCGAGCTCATGAATTCTTTGGTTGGTGCATGACCATTTGGTGTTCAGAGAGAAAAGCCTCCAACCCCCCGGTTGAAGATGATGGAAGTTTGTGTGGATTTCAACCAATTTCAACCAGTGGAAGATGATGGAAGAGCGGGTGCTGCGGATGGAAGTGATGTGGATTTTCCCATGACTTTCTCGGTTCTGTAGTGAATCCCCGAGACTGATTTCCCAGGCAAAGGGGGAGAAGGCGGTTCTTTGAAGTTGTACAAAGGGGAGGCGAGGTTTGAATCATGGAAAGCAGTTTTGTTTGTTTTGTTTGTGTTCTATTCTTTTCTGTTGGTTCCAAGTTCCAAGTTGTTCTATTTGGGGTTAGTGTTGTTCTCATCTTTCTTTTTGTGACATAGAGTAGAGAGCAATCCAAGAATGTACATCTAAATCATTCCAATCCATGTTCCAATCCAAACAGTCTAGATCCAATCCATGTTCCCTTGATTCCAATCATTCCAATCCATGTTCCAATTCAAATAGTGTACAGTCATACATGTTGCCTCCTCTTCGCAGACTGCCTCCGCCGTCCGCGTCGGACGGTGAACGAACTGGTTCCTCGTTGGGTTTGGGGCGGCTTCGCCTCGCTTTGGCGCGTGAAATCGTGAAAGTCACCGTTAAAACGCCATCCTAGTCCCAATGATATTTTTGTGGATGAACCATCAACCGGGCTCACCGATCTGATTGACATGATACCTGCATGTTTTTGCTGTTTTCAGGGTGATCTTGTTCTGTTCCCGAACTGGATAAATCCACCTTTGTTGGGGGGGAATGTTTGTTTTTTTTGCCCAGTAGATGGACAGCAATTCCCAGACTATATGGCAAAATCTGGTCAACAAACATGGCCTCCATACCCTTCAAACCCGAAAACGGCACGAAAAGCACGCCTGGCCTCCATATCCCGTGGCCACCGGGACCGTGGTCACGCTGAGGCTCCAAAGGCAGCACAAAGACCCAACTCTGAGCGGTGAAAACCACCGCCCGGGGAGCTCGCGCGTGGGTGGAGTTGCCGTGGAGAGCAGGGGCGAGTTCATGGCCTTGGCGTCATGGAAGCGGCAAGCCAGCTGTTTTTGAGATCCACGAGGGCATGCCATCAGGGAGTGTACCATACCCATGGAAAAGCAGTGACCTGAAGGTCATCACACTTTTGGAGGACATTGGTGGCACCCCACTCAAATGAGAACAGGTGGAACATGCATGAGGATGTTTTTGGGTGAAAACTAGAGTATTTCAGTATCTCTATATACCTGCCAGGAAAGGACAGTTGAAAGTTACTTGGTATCTGCTAAGTATATTTATGTATATTATGTGGTACTCCAGTGCCAGACACTTCAACGTATGTGAACTCCGGGCTGTCAACTGTTCGTGGACTGAGTCTGTTTCATACCTGGACCCTTCAAAGTAGCTTGCGGCACATGAGCCACAACAGGAACGACTGTACCCGGACCTCCGAGTCCGAAAACGGTGGGTTTTTTTTCTTCGTCAGCGATGTGGACTGGACTGACTGCTAGCTTCTGGAGGCTCAACAGGCCTATGTTGAGGATGTTGAGGGTGTCATGATCATTGGACAGTCTGCCAAGTCTGGCCTGGAAGCACCTGCCTCCTGTAGACATCTGTAGACGCCCGACGGTGCCAGCAGGTCTTGTGCGGCCTGACTACACTGACTACACACGTGTGAGACGTCAGGACGCAAAAGGAAATCGGGACCCGGGCGCCACGTGGGGATTTGGGGACCACAGCGGACCGTCAACAACCGCTTCGTGAGTCGGACCGGGAACTCGCATGGTTGGATGTTGTATAAGGGTACGGTTTTGCTTGGTGATGTTGTTGGAGTTTCCTCTTTGGTGAATCCTTGTTGAATGGAGTGCATCTATTTTTGTTTAATGGATCTCGTTTCCTTTAAGCAGCCAATATGGTGAGCATCAATTGTACTTCGGGTGGTGCAGGGCTATATATTCAGACCAGTGGAACTCCAGCAAGGCAGAGGGACAGAGGGCATCAGGACATCGTCCTGCCTCAAAAGGGTCAAGTATTAATACATATTAATGCGGTAATACGCGTCAAATATGTTTAAAGGCAAATATTGTTTTGAGTTGTGGTCCTCTCCAATATGTATGTTGTGTCCTAAGCCCTGTCCTTTCCGCCAACGCAAATACTGCGCTCAAAAAATTCAGCATGCTCATAATTGGTTCTTGTTTCTGGTGGCTAAATCTACCTGGAGCCTTTTTGTGACCCCTGTTTTGGAGGATCAACTATCCAAAATATGATCTGTTCCTATCAAAACAGAGGTCAGTCAGGCTCAACCGGTCTCTCCTGCATCCTTGGCCGTCTTTTCTTCGGTGCCTCATCCCCCCGTTCTTCCAGGCGCACGAGCGCTTCGGCGTCCACGGCCAGTGCTGCTTCGTGGTGCGCCCGGACCACCACGTGGGCTTCCGCTGCGAGCCCATCCGCTCAGGCCAGTCCTCCGCACGGTGGAACGGAGGGCCATGGATTTAGTTTGTGTGGTGTGTTTTTTGTGTGGTGGCATGTGGGAAGGAAGGAAGGAAGGAAGGATACTATATATATCCATTATGTCTATCAGTCTGTCTATCTATCTACCTATCCATCTACCTATCCATCTATCTATCCATCCATCTATCCATCTATCCATCTACCTATCTACCTATCTACCTATCTACCTATCTACCTATCTACCTATCTACCTATCCATCCATCCATCCATCCATCCATTCATCCATCCATCCATCGATCCATTTGTTTATTTGTTGCTTGGTTCTATTCTGCTCTGTTCTGTTCTGTTCTGCACTATTCCATTCTTGTCTATATGTGCTTTGTATATCTTTTGAATAGTTTCTTTCCATATTTCTAACTAGAGTATCTACCGCCACTCGCCAGCATGCACTCACCAAAAAAACAAGCAGGCACGCACCAAATTTAAAATTTCCAAAGCCAACCCCAATAAAGTAAAAACAAATACCGAAACGAAACAAACACACATTAAATCCGATCTATCTATCTATTTGTCTATCTATCTGTCCATCCATCCATGGATCCATCCATGCATCCGACTATCTATTTATCTACTCGGTTCTATTTGTTCTGTTCTGCACTATTCCGAGCAGCGTGATCGATAGCATGACTGCGCAAAAGGTATCGATCAAGCTGGAAGGCGGCATCATGATGAACGTCGAGGCAACGCAGTTACTTGACGTGCTATATATAAGGAGAAAGCTCCGGAAACCTATGTGTCAGGTTGGATTTCTGAGCTTCCAGCTCCTTGCAGTTCAAGTTTTTGAAGCTCAAGGCAGAAGCTCTTTCAGAGCATGATGTGGGAACCGGATCACTTACAGCTCGTCAAACTGCACAAAGATGTGAGGGTGAAGGTTGGGAAGGGCTGGCGATGAGTTCACCACGAAGGTCGGGTGGCGATTGTAGGCCGAAGAGGCCAAGTGCCACGTGCTGGCGCAGTGAGCTGTGGGCAGAAGCGTGGCTGAAGCCGCGGCATACTGCCTTCAAGGGCGAGGAGGGTGAGTTCATCCCTTTGGTGGGTTCGAGGCACTGCGGAGCCAAAGCATGCACTCACAAAAAAACAACAACCAGGCACTCACCAGAACAATCAAAAGCTGCTAGAATATGTACAATTTGCGAAGCCAAAAAGAACAGTCAATACTGTTATTTTTCCGAGCCGCGGTGTAACGAACACAACCCAAAGGGGCATTGTTGTTGTTGTTGTTGGTGGTTGATTTGGTCGAAGGGGTTGGCCCTAGCCTTTTGACTTGCAATTTTCGTCGACCAAACACATCATTGCTTTTGACACACCGTGTGCCATTTCGAATGCAGTTTGTCAAAACAGATTCGATATGATTCGATTATATTGGATCAGCCCCCATGTGTCAACGCGAAATGGAATTGGTTAGAATGCGCCCTGGTGTTTTGTTTTAAGACTATTTTCACATGCATACAATGTGTATATCTAAGTAGATGGTCAAAATTGGGTATCACTGTATCACCTGCAAAAACCATCCACGACAACTCCATGGTTGTCCATGATCATGTTTGCCCACCTCTCCTCATCCACCACTGTATCCTCCAGCCGGTCATGGAGCCGGACCTCCCCAAAACCGCTGGCGTGGTCACGCCAGGCGCCATATGGCGGTACTTCCGGCAGACCTGCGGGATCAGCCCCTTTGGACCGATGGACCCGTCCCGTCCCGACCCATCGCGACGGACCCGTCGCCGCATGGACGGCCAAAGGAGCCAGCAAGGAGGAGAAGGGGTCAGTAGGTTTCGGGGGTGTCGGTGGCTGAAAAGAAAAGAAACTGTAAGTAAGTGGTTGCCACAAAGAAACCATATAGTACATTATATACTTAGAAATCAAGAAGCAAGTTCACCCAATTCCTCCATATTCGTGGGTTCCTGGGCTTGATGATTTGGTTGGCAGGAAGTAATTATGCCTGCCTTCACTTCAGCCTTCATCAAGAATTTGTGTGTGTGCTGATTTAACCAAATTGGATGGTGGACAGTGTTTGAACTTTCTCATTTTAGATCAAATAGGATGGCTGATGATGGCTGTTTTTTCTCATTCAACCAGATGCCCTAACTGTTGTTTCTTTTGTAAATGACCGAACATTAACACATTCAGGATTCCACGATAATTTTTTTCCTGCATGTGTTGTGCTACACCCCCCCCACCGGGAGACAAGTACAAATGAATCAGAGTCTATGTGTGTTCCATTGTTGTCCCTACTTTCAGACACTTTCAGAACCTTATATTTGGAGCCGGGGTTTTCTGGGTGTAGACTATAAACACTTGGCCCATCACAATGTATATTTAGCCGGAAATGACACAACCGCAAGAGACAGGTTGGTTGGTTGGCATCGGCGCCTTGCCAGCTGAGCTCGCCGATGTTTCGTCGGAGCCACGGTCGGACCCCAAGGCCATGGGCGAAACGAAGAGGCGCCACTGTCCAGTCATGTCTTCGACCCGTTGCCAGTGCCTTGACTATATGATTTGGCGTCTATTTGGTTCGGCGAAAAGACCATCTCCGGCGGTATGCCGAAGTTGGAACACCATGTACCTCCTGTTCGGATGCTCTTAGGGAGGTGGGCCCTTGCGGGACATTGAATTCGGATGGTCCGGGACTCTCCCTGATATGATCATGCAAGTGGATAATGCAATCCTCCTACCAAACAGGTGGTGAACTCCACTTCCATGATGATTTCAGGGAGTAATACACCTCCAGACACTCCATGTACGGACTATGATGCCTTTACAATGAGCCCGTTTCAACCAGCGCAATGTATGCAACTATCGCACCACCTGGGGACCATCCGATGTTCCCGCTTCCCCCGCCGCGAATTGCTCGGTGACAATCCCACTGACCAGGACAGCCCTTCAAGCGAACAGATGTGGGGGGTTCTGGGTTTTCGACAGATCGACAGAGTCTGATCTATATCAATCAGCTGGTGGGTCAAGCCCCCGCGCTCAGAACGCTCCGCATCATTGGATGGATCTTTGGTCAATACTTCTTTTGCTGGACCTGGGGCGTGGGGCGTGCTAGTCAGTCGGGCTTTTCCCAGTCTTCCGCTGCCCCCCCTATTGAACGACCGAGGCGCTGGTATGGACTTTGTCGTTGCCGCTGGGCGGAAGAATTTGTGGGGCGAAAGCGCAGGCGGCGAAAGGGGGAAAACGGCTCGTGTTGCTGCAGTTCGGCAGCTGGAAAGCTCCTCCGGAAGCCACACACAGAAAGAAATTGAAGAAGGCTGAGGCTGATATCAAGCCCTTCTTGCCCAGACGCTACTGTGAGCACAGACAGCCCATTCGTCCATCGACTCTCAGGCTCCGCAGATCAACTCAGAACCTGAAATCATCTGAAATCGAGAGTCGATCGAGGCTTTGGCCCGGAGTGTGCCTGGCCTTTTCAGACATCCTTGGTCCTTGGGCCAGGGGGGGTTCTTCCGTTTTGGTCAGAAACAGATCGAAGTCAACCAAGAAGCCAAGAAAGGATTGATTTGCTGATGTCTTGGCCATCAACCAACATGACTG